TATATATATATTTATTTATCACATAATCGGCCTGTTATCCAGTGAATTCGCCCGTGTAATATTTTTTACATATGTCACTAGTGTAATATACCCTGGATCGTTTTTCATTGGCTGTGCCAGTCAGATATCGATTGTGACGAAATAATAAGGACAATGACGTGATATCATAAATTGTGAATGGCGCAACAAAATGGCTGCCTCTGTTTGATTAAGCCCTCTTTATTTTGACTTTAAAGCCTGTCGAAATGTAAGTTTTCTGAGCTATGTGATAAGTCGAGGCAAGCAAAAATAAAAACTCCTAAGACTAGTTTCGTAAAAACTCATATGAAATGAAAACTAATTTAAGATCCTATATATAAATGTCCGACATAATGGTGAGTTATACCACTGAACATTGATGATTTTGACAAAAACAGTTGTCATGATAATTAATGAAAGCTTCACATATTAAATATTTCAATAAATTTCAATGTCACGGGACATCACACATGAATAATCACGAATGAAATGCATACGACCCCGTGGACCTGCAGACAGTATAACTTCGTCATAAAGTCATTTGCTACATGAACCGTACAATTTGAACGCATGCACGGCACAAATACAAATACAATATACACGGTCAAACCAATTATTATAATTACGAGTACATACCTAGTTATTAGCGCATACATACATGTTATTTGCAATCTTATTACCATACATATCGATATCTGAATATAATGTTTCCTCGTTCAACTCGACTTCAATGAACAAAGTATAACACTCTTGTTTGTTATAAGAAATTACAAAAATCATCAAAAATATCGATATGGAAATAGCTCAAATAAACAATAGATATGATTTGATATCAGAATAAACGAAAGTGAAATCGTTTTAAAAATCAATGTTAATAGAATTAGTCTTTGGCACGAAATACGTACGAAACCTTTCTCACATGTATTGATGTTAAGCTAACGATGCTGTACAAAGGTTTACACAGGTAGATTTCAATCGATATTTTAACTTGTTTCATCCTGGCATTTTAAAAATGGCGGCCTAGCTTGATTGATGTCAAGGTCACATTATTGACTATTGATAGTATCGCCAAATCAACAGCACAACACGGTTTTCCCGTTTGCTCATCCTGTGGGAATATTCAGATCATTTTGTTAGTGCTGTGTGAGTGTGTGTGCGAACCTTATAACGTTTGTGATATACCACGGACAGGTGAGATCCAGTCGGCATTGACAGAAACATGAGTCAGGTAAGAATGGGATACTTTACCTTTTATACCTTGTTTTGTAAACAAAGGCGACCAAGAGATAGTTCGCTTGTACAGGAATCCATGAACCATGCATTCCTATATCCAAAAGTATACCTTTTACCTGCAGACGAGTGAAATACATTGTACACTGTATCTAAAGCCGTTGTTTACAAGGCTAAATATTTTTTATTTTTTATTTTTCGTAACATACAAATGTACTTACACATGTACAATGTTTTTATTATTCATTTATTTCGTATAGAATATACATTTTGGCTATGTACGAACAATTTCCAATTGTTATTTTTGAAAAGAGCTTAGAGTTTAAAAAAAATGTAACACGTAATTCCTGTTTCGACANCCCCCCCCCCCCCCCCCCTCCTACATGTACCCTCACTCTCACTCACCTAACCCGTACCCGTTCTTCACCCTACCATTACTAGCGCAAACAACGCCACAACCCCGTTTTTCACCCAACTGGATTTCTTCCCGTAACCCTGGAATGATTCCAAGATCCACCACTTGTACTTATACTAGTATGTATATATCTATATAAATAGAATATATCGATTTATCAACACGCATATAATCTGGCCGTTTAAAAAGAAAGACCTTCCAATAACCATCCGTACATATATATACACTACACATATAGGTATAACCATTGACCACTTTGACTATATAATTCTGGCTATTTATATGTAAGCACAACAGGAGTAGTGATCTTATATTGTATTGTATAACTAGCTATTGATTGTCGACTACAACAATGACTAAACGATTTCCACCCTCGACATGTCTGGACTAGCTCTCGATCTGTGTTCTTAAACATTTCCAGTAGATCTTTAGTGGTAATTGGAAATATAATAATGTTAACTTTAAATGTCTTGTGTTATGACGACGCATGGCCGATGATCTGTTTCTAAACTCCCCTATAATATGCATGTGTCGAGAAGCAGGACCCCCTCCACTCCCTATAATAGATATTGGTTCAGGGAGTCCGCAACAGTTGTATATATATATAATACCCCCTGGGGAGTGTCTGTGGAGAATTTACCGGATGCTCCCATAAGTTTAAAGAGAGATAGGCCTTGCCAATGATTGCTGGGCCTTCCATAAATTGCACGTGATTCGAGACTTCCATCAAGGACCTGTTGTGATTGGCCTTTTCTCATCGGTACTCCTTACCAACCCCCCATCCCCTACCCCCACCCCCAGACTCCAAACCCCACCCACCCGACCGTCCGAACCCATACGACAAATTGTATGGTCGTCAGTACAGTACTTTGACCCGGGGTGTGAAAATATTGTTCAGAAAGTTTCAGGAATCTGTCTTTGAAATCTCAGTATATCGCAATATTTTTGCAATCGACATTGTGATAATGATATCGGCAATCATGCAAAGGGTATATGTATTAGTGTGTATACAAGAAACAACAAGACGATACAGAGGTGTATATGTATAAGTGTGTATTTAAGAAACAACAAGATGATACCGACGTGACAAAGTATATAATTTATTAGTGTGTATACCAGAAACGACAAGATGATTCCGACGTGACAAAGTGTATAACGTATTAGTGTGTATACCAGAAACAACAAGATGATTTCGACGTGACAAAGTGTATAATGTATTAGTGTGTATACTAGAAACAACAAGATGATTCCGACGTGACAAANGATACCAACGTGACAATGTGTATATGTATTGGTGTGTATACAAGGAACAACAAGATGATACCAACGTGTATATGTATGAGTGTGTATACTAGAAACAACAAGATGATACCGAAATGAAAACTTAACCGGAATTCGATTTTTAAGTCGATAAAACTGATACAAAACATGAACAAAGGAAATATTTGCCTGGAGACCATTGAGAAATTAAAGTGGGAATAAGACTAATAGAATCCATCCCTGATGTGAGGTACGGATAAGGTCATTCAAACCCAAGGGATGAAATATTGAGCATTAGACCCGAGGCTTTGCCGAAGGTCTTTTGCTCAATATTTTATCCCGATGGTTTAGATAACTTTATCCTTATCTCATATCAGGGATGATTTCTATTTCTTGCTTATTACCTAAAACCCGTAAAAAACAGCTGCTCTTCTAGTAAAGTCCGCTCATTTCTCGTTTGCATATGAAGCCAAGATGGCATTTGTTAGTGACGTCAATGACCCTGACTGACCCCAAAACGTCATAAAATGACTTCACGAACAAAAGCATGACCCCGAAAGGTTACTATAATTCCCCCGCAAGTCTGCGCGTGTAAGCGATCTAGACCCATGGGCCGGATAGAATTTTCCAGCACCGCCGAAAATGCGGATATCTCGGTCTAGTATGCAAGAATAACAGAATCTTCCCCTACCTTGAGGGTGTAACAGAGAAATCTCGAACCCTCGGGGTGATTCTTTTGGTTGTCTAACCCGAGGCTTTGACAGAGAAATCTCCAACCCGAGGGTTGGAGATTTCTCTGTTACACCCTCAAGGTAGGGGATGATTATTTTTCTCCCATCCTATTATTTCAGTCACAGCTCCACCGACAGTAGTCTGCGATGTTTGTAAACAAAAACACAGGTGGGGTATGCATATCGTCATTCACTTTTGATGACGTCACAATGTTACCGATGATGATTTTAATGACGTCATAATTGAACACGTGCTAATCGGCACGAGACTATCTCCCCATAGGGGGTGACTAAAAGAATCTTTCACCCACTTGAGCGTGAGATAGGAGAATCTCAACCCGAGGGGGAAGATTCTTAAGTTGACAAACACGAAGCTTTGCCGAGTGTTTGGCAACTTAAGAATATTTTCCCGAGGGTTGAGATTCCCCTATCTCACCCACAAGGGGTGAATGATTCTTTTTCTCTCACCCTGTTCTACCATTGTGTATACACAATGTAATGATAACGTTACATGCTAAATTCAGGGTTGACGTGACATTGATGGATTGTTGACGTGACGTCATTGTATTGTTGAAGTGATGTCATGCCATTGATATGAAAAGGGGAATCCCCCCGTCTCAGCCTTAGAGTGAGACAAGGAAATCTCACACCGGTAAAAGTGCGGATACACCTGTCCAGGGTAAGAGAAAAGCTGATCTTTCCCGGCTAAAACGGGAGACACACCTGTGAAGGGTGGGAGAAAAGATGTTCCGAAGGTGTAACCGTCATATGCTTTATCGATCACACCCACCACCATGTTACTAAGTCATATCCAAGTATTGTAACATCCTCATACCAACAACAATGCAAGCTGACTACATATCACACAAAGACATTGAACATTTCCCTATGGGATCCAGATAGCGACCGAAACGCTTGTCCATAGTCTTAAACAACACTATTCCGCTTGTCCTTGATTAGAATATTTCAGCAAGGACTAGTGAATCACCTAACCTTACTTGTCCTTTATCATAAAATAAAAATAAAAACCTTTTTAAAATTTTAGAAACTGATTGAATATTGCATAATAGTTGTCAGAGTTTTCCTTAAACTTCACCATATTTTTATGGCAGTAAGTATTTTAAGTCCCCCTGCAGTGGGTTACTCTTAATGTTTCTTGCTGCAGATAGCGATGGTTCCTTATCAGGAACTATTTGACTAGTTACATTGACGAAGGACTAGAAGATAGTCTATTCAACTAGTCCTGTGAACTACCAAGCAAACAAGTTAGCATCTAACCCTGCTGTATCTCTGGAAACCATGTGTTGTAAGTTTGTCTGTTGGCAGTCGACATCCGTCACGGAAGGCTTGGTATATAGAGCATGCACTTGAACACCGTAGCTTTGGGAAGCTGGGGTGATACTATCTAGAAAGGAAAACTTCATGATAAAAAAAACCCGTAATACTCTGCTTTTCGCAGAGCTTAATAAATTGGTACATTAACTTCTTGACGATGTGGTTTAATAAGTTTTTAAGATTATAATAGTTTTATAATCGTTGTCTATAAATTTGTCTATTATGTCATTTTAAATGTTTAAGTTTAATTATGTTCCCTTCCTTTTTTTTAAAGTTTCTTAATCTTCCGATATTTTAATCAAACACATTTCTTGAGCACATTTTAACCCGAGTTTTCTTATTTTCACTGCAGGAGGTTGTTGACGAGAAAAGAGAGTGTGAGTATAAAGACCTTCGTACTCCACTGATAATTCGAATAAAATGGTTCTTCATAAAAATTTACATAACTTAAATAGTTCACACACTCACACATATATATATATGTGTGTGTATATTATTCTGCTACTTGCATACTAAATTGAAAGTGAACATTTGACTTTCTAATCATAGAGTGTGACAAAATAAACAATATCTGTACATTCTTTAAAAAAAATAGTTCGAGATAAGGCAAAAAGTACTTGGGGGTAGTGGGTGGGGGTGTTAAACATTATTATTTATATTTCCACTGCACAGAGCCTAGATGTTTCTACTGGGCCCAGTGTATGTTATTTCCGTATAACATACATTGGGCCATTTATGCCATGACGTCATAACTGTAACGTTGGAGATTGCACTGCTCCACTGTCAACTGGTGGCTGTTCTCTGTATGGATTTACCCTGACGTTAAAACATGTTCATACTAATGTTATGTCTTTATTTCTGCGTGAACTGTAAGTTGATCAACAAAAATGTAAATATAAGTGTTGGTTGTCATATATTTGACATGCATTGGTGTCTAACATACATTGGCTTACCTACATATTTAAAATGGTTATATAGGTAAGCCAATGTATGTTACACACCAATGCATGTCAAAAATTTGACTACCAATCTTTAAATAGGGATGTTAAAAGAATAGACGTTGGATAGTTTAACAGTCAACACAGGAATTGTTAAAACGTCAATATCAAACAGGAGTTAAACAGACTATACTGGAAAGATAAAGAGAAGTTATAAGGGAAAATTAAATAGTAGATCTATATAGAGTGAAGTGAAACAGTAGATATAAAGCTGAACTTCAATAGCAGTTACCAGAAAGTTTAATAGTATATTTCAACGGATGTTAAAGAGTAGATACAAGACAACTTAAACAAAAACGGTAGGATGATTTTATCATTTTTGTTTTCGCTTTTGTCCTTTGCTTTTGTCCTTTTTCTGTTGACGCCAATTCAAATGGTTTACTTCTGTTTATAGGTCTTCGTCTATCTTTTAATCATTTTGACAAAGACGGAAGCGGTACGATAACTGTGGATGAGATTGGTAAACTGTTTCAAGCGCTGGGTCAAAATCCCACCAATGAGCAAATAGAGCATATGATCAAAGAAGCCGACACAGATAGTAAGTAAACAAAACGAATACACGCCGACACAGATAGTAAGTAAACAAAAATAATACACGCCGGCACAGATACCAAGTAAACAAAAGTAACACATGTCGACACAGATAGTAAGTAAACAAAACTAATACACACCGACACAGATAGTAAGTAAACAAAACTAATACACGCCGACACAGATAGTAAGTAAAGAAAACTAATACACGCAGACACATATACATAGTAAGTAAACAAAACTAATGCACGCCGACACAGATAGTAAGTAAGCAAAACTAATGCACGCCGACACAGATAGTAAGTAAAGAAAACTAATACACGCAGACACAGATACATAGTAAGGAAACGAAACTAATACACGCCGACACAGATAGTAAGGAAACAAAACTAATACACGCCGAAACAGAAAGTAAGTAAAGAAAACTAATACACGCAGACACAGATAGTAAGTAAACAACACTAATACACCCCGACACGGATAGTAGGTAAACAAAACTAATACACGCCGACACAGATAGTAAGGAAACAAAACTAATACACGCCGAAACAGAAAGTAAGTAAAGAAAACTAATACACGCAGACACAGATACATAGTAAGTAAACAAAACTAAAACACGCCGACACAGATAGTAAGTAAAACATGCATAATTGCGATGCGTTCGTAAATTGGAGATCTGGATCTGAACGTAGCATTAGTATTATTTTAGGTTTTAGCATAACTATCAGAAATGTTCTATCAATTATATAAGAAACGAAAATGAATCTATGATCCTTTTTAACATTTGCAAGAGACCGTGTGACCATTTGCAACGAGCAAATTGAATCGATTAGATTCAAACAACAGAAATTCGTTTCATCTTCTTTATCTTTAATGTGACGTCACAAAGATTGTCTTCATGCTTTTTGTCTTAACTAATTCTGATGCCACGATGAGTGAACTTATGATCTTAATGAGCATAAACATGTAACACGCGTGTTTACTACACTTTCGCGGAATTTAAATAAAACGATTTACTATTCAATCTTCATTTCTCCACAGACTCGGGCTCGATTAACTTTGTGGAATTCGAAAAATATGTTAATAGACAAAAAGAATGTAACCAGACAAAAAAACAGCAGGAAGACGATTTGAAAAGTGCGTTTGCAATTATGGACAGAAATGGAAATGGTTTCATCAGCAAAAAAGAGTTACGCAAAGTGGTGAAGTGTTGCGGAGAACGTCTTTCCGACGAGGAAATTGAAGAGATGATGTCTATTGCAGATACAGATGAGGATGGCAAAATTGATTGTAATGGTATATGCCGTTTTAGCACAAACTGAAAGAATTGATATAACTTTTCATTAAATTGGTCAAAAGTAGTTAATCTTTTTTCTTTTGACATTTATTTAGTAACGGTAATGAATCCTTAATGGACTGAATAGTATCATGGTTCCCTGTGTTTGAGACAATATCAAAAAAGAAGTTATGAGTGATGTGCTTTGCCGTATTGTACAATAGTATCATTTCCTCCAATCTGGATTTTTTTTCCCAACTCAAAATTCGAAAAAAGAGGGAGGAGTTACTATGATAAAAGGAAATACCTGTTATATCACTGGCAGTTTCATATTGACATTTTATGATCCTGCTTTTGTTAATTTGAAATAGTTCCAATTTTTCACAAAGCATCAAAATGGGTTTACTGATAAAATACCATAATTTAAGCCACGCACAAGACTCCTTTGATTCTTCTTTTCCTAATGACAGATATAGGTTCAGTTAAATATACCCCTTCATTTATAGTCACTACAGTTAGTTATCCCATGTCTATCGCTAATTTTAACATGTTACCATTAGATAGTAAGTCAAATGTTCCACCTATTTCTCCTTTGTCTGGCTTAGTTACACGATATTTCACATACAATGTACACCCTACCCTTTTCGTGACTGAGACATTTTTCTGGGTTAGGGGGATTACGTTTAAATACGGCAGTCAACCCAGCTAGGCAAAGCTAACTGTTTTTTGTTTTTAAAATGAATCAATCTAAAATTACAAACAATTTGATCCTTTAACGTTTTCCATAAAATTTATGTAGTTCGTATTTTTTAGTTTCTATAATTTTCCCATTTTATTTATAATAATTTTTATCTTTGCAGAATTTGTGAAGGCGATGTTACAATGAAAGAGGAGCCCCGATACCGTACTCTCGTTAGTCCTTTAGTAGGATCACAGTGCTTCTTAGCAATAGACTTTTGTAGACTTAGTGGACGCAATGGAGTACAGGACGGAGAGAAACGCATTATCTGGATTCCATTTAGCCAGAAATGTCCATAATCTCGAATAATATGTCTACCCTTTTCGAAATAAGATTCATCTGTTTGGTATAGATAATATATGCTAACTTTATTTTGAACAAAAAAAAAAACACCAGTAATTTAAAACCTCTATCGGCGAACTTTCTTATGCGTCTGTTTCCTTTGCCAAGCAAAGAGTGTTTTTCAATAACTGTTTGCATTTAAAACAAACCTAGCATATACTTCTTTCCTAGGTGTCACTGTTTGTCTTTCACTAGAACAGCAATGACACGGCAGAGGTGTAAGTTAGATAAATGTGTCAATTTGCAACACTTAATTTAATGCTAATTGAACTTTGGTATGCGGATATTTGAACATTAAGAGTATGTCTAGTTAACTTGGTGGTTCTCGGATTTATTTGCTACGAATGTACCCCAGTCCATTGCTGAATTAAGAACGCAAAGAGTAAAATGATTAAAATCGAACAATACAAAATCACTAATGCTTGTTTGATAAAAAATAAAGTAAGACAAATACAGTCACTGTTCTTTAACCTCTGAATAACCCGACTAATTCGATACTACAGAAAACTCTTAACGTACCGTAAATTCGGCGATGGTTTTACCTCAATGCTATATTTGTAATGATCTTAAGCGACGTATAGTTGAACATTGCTCTGTATTTAATTATTTAATTTTATCTTGTCTCAAAACCACAGAAGATAAGTCCCCGTGTATGTATATAAACAAATCTCTAAATGTGTAACACTGTATGTATATAGCTAAATCTCTAAATATGTGTCCCTGCGAATGTACATATACAAATCGCTGAATTGATGTCTTTAAGAATGTTAACAACCCTTCGAAGAGGTATCCTGGTGTCTGTATATGAACAGAAATGGAAACATTGAAAGTCATTTATGTTTTTTTTATATTTCCCTGTTCACTGTAAAGATAATTGATACTCATTCTTTACATTGATGCTTTAAGTTATTTCTACATTATCTCCATCGAACTACTTTCATCATATACTGGATTTATTATATATGTGTAAACTGCTTTTACTTGCATTATATATTAATTGGAAGCGTTTTGTCAATAACATATGCTTCTTATTTTGATAGTGTCCTTGCTGTGTTAAAATGAACTTAGTACAACACACTCATTGGTCAGTGTGTTTGGTGTTATGCTTTCAATATGGTTCATCCTATTTATAAATCTTATCTAAAATAAGACATATTTTGTTAAACTTAATTTTGAATTATAATTTTTTTAATTCAAAATATTGCTGTTAACCAGAGACGACTGTACATTATATGACGATAGCTTTAATACCAATCCAAATAATTGTTATTGACTACTTGTCCTAGAACCAAAGATTCCGAATGAACATAGCATGCACAAATCTTGTCACGTGATATAATACTGTTTTTATTTTTTTATCAAATTAATATCAAGCTATATCACAATGATGCTATTTTTCACTCAAACAGCCAGACTGATATTATTGAATATGTCCTGTAGGTCGCGCTTATGATACATTAACTCAAAGACACAGTTATTAGACGTCCATTTCTCTATTCGTAAATCATTACCATCATTTATTTTATTCATTATTTTCTCATCAGGCAGCAACTTCCTATTATAACATCGGAACTTCACACAGGGGCATTTGATGATACATGATTATCTTACAGTATGTTTACCTATTGCAGGTATTATAATGATTTGTTTCCAACCATTGCCGTAACACCTTGTTACACATATTTTAAGATGACTTGATAATTTGTCATTATATTACTTATGACTTACGATCTACCTATGACCCTAATAAGAATTACGTAATATCTCTGTAAATTGACTTTACCGTAATTTGTATTAGGGTCATAGGTAGATCGTAAGTCATAAGTAATATAATGACAAATTATCAAGTCATCTTGAAATATGTAGCAAGGTGTTACAGGCAATGGTTATAAGAAAATATCTATATACTGCCTATCAAAAGGTTATGTTAAAATATTCATATATTGATGTATCTGTAAATCTTAGTGAGAAACTGCCTGCTGGGTGTCATTCAATTAAAACCTACTAAAACTTTAATGGATTCTTTTGTTTTTATTTGATTCTTTACACAAGGCACGACCCATGACCCTTGTCTGTTTAGTGCGATATATCCACAGCAACGCCATGGTTACCTACTTACATTCACACTTTTAGACTTTTTAATATTAGCTTAAGACACTAATTTTCGCTTTAAACTACATATTTAACACGCTAGTGCTAAAACGTTCAAAGTACACAAAAAAGAATTACCTGTCTTTCTGCTTGCTTAAAAACCGAAGGTTTTATAATCGACCACTTCCGGTTGGAATAAGGTACTGGGGAATGAACTGGTAAAGGGAGACTCATCCTCGAAATTACAGCGGTTACGATCCCTAACGTTCTCAGCACGTAAGTGGGCGTAAATGTTTTGGAAAACGAATTCATAACTACACACTGCACACGACCTTGATAAATGACTCCCATTTTTTAGCACACCAAGAAACCTTTCGAGGTAATTAGGGGGATCTAAACCTTCGAATTGTATTTAAACATGATTTTGTTCTGCATAAAGATAATGTTTCAACGAAAATGCGTTAAAATATTTCTTTCTTTTGCACACACACATTAAAGTATTACTCTAACCCAAGAAAAAAGCCTAATGAATATAACGTTAAAGTTCACGTGCGATGTGAACAATAAAAATAAACGTTCATAGGGAAATATTTTTCTGTAAACGGAGAAACAAAATCAGATTAAAATGTTCACGTAACCTCTCGGCGAGTGAGGAAATACAGGAAAAACTTGTGGAACTTTGTTAAAATTTCAAAAGAAACCGACAAACAATGATTTCACGAGACATATATATCAGACAAAACATGCATATGTTTTGCAGTCACGGGTAACACATTAAAATAATATACATTTGCACCTCCGTTCCAAGTAAATTATAAAAGACGACATATCAGCATTTTCTGTCAGACTGTTCTTACAGGATAGTGGCACAGTCTTGGTAATGACTCTCCCTATCTCTTGAAACAGGATCAAGCAATTATTAAGAATGTTGGAGCTACAATTCAGTAGTCGTCAAATACTTATATAGTATACATTCAAGTTTAAGTTGTATTCAGAGTTGGAAAGGTGTGTACACATTCTCAAACGGGCCTTGACGCTATTCCTACGGTTTGTTTGTGTAAGGAAATTGCGTATAAACTCGTAATAACTATTCACTTAACAGGGATCGGTCGAGATACGCTTAGCTGAGTGTTTTGAATGTTGTATTCTTCGTACCATGAAATTAAATAGCGACGCTGTGGCCGTTACCTTATTTGTTCATATGCTTATAGTTTGATTTCAAATATAAATATTTAAAATCAATATTCTTTAGGCTAAGATTTTCTATTACTATTTATATCTGCTATTTCACCACGCGACACTCTCATTTTCCTTAAAAGGTTTAGGAGGAGGATTCGATTTATTACAGGGTTCAATGTGCTAAAATATTTCCCGTTGTGAATGGCCCATATAATATATCATTTGAATGCAAGACCGTAGGCATTTCATTTCCATCCAACTAAAAGGGCGATGCCCTGTGTAGACCATATCTATTAATACAGGACAATTTCGATGTAATGTCCCTCTTTCCATTCGTCACCTTGCTTACCGCCTACATAATTTACGGTCATTGTTTTCTATTTTTTCCTTACCATTCCTTCATATGCTTCTCCCAGTTAATCCCCACACCCCTTGACATTATCAATATTTCTCTGGACAAATGGTGACAGTATAGCAAAGTTTTACTGTAATTGTCGTTAAAGGATAGTTTCAAGCCTGACACCTTGCAGTGTATGAACATGTTCCAGATAAGCTCTGCTATCGGTTTCAACGAGACTCATATCAAGAACAACGTTTACATGAGTGTCTTCCATCTCAGACTATTTGAAAAAGGGGCAGTCATCCCGTTATGAAGAGACAGATTGTTTATCTTGTTTTGTTTGGTGTTAAAAAGATATCTAAAACTATGAAACCCATTGTATACCTTAATTAATGTGCAAGTGCCATCCATATGGTTGTAGAAATATTTTTTTTGTGAAAAATCAGCTAGGCTGATGTAGCCAGTACGGTGTTATACTTACATGAACTCCACTTTAATGTAACCACGTGTGCAGGGTGTTTGTATTATGAGAATCCTCCAAAACACTGGCCATTGACGGGTATAAATGGAAAATCAATATATCATGGCAGAGATCAGATTTCACCGTTACTATAGAACATTATGATCTATAACTATTGGGTACTTTTTTAAAACAAATTATCTGAAGAAGGATCATTAAAGGAATGCCGTTTATATGTTTAAATAACAACCCACACCGATATCCAGTGTACAAGAGAATACGAAGTCGAACGTCCTTCCTATTAGCCTGTTTCAATTAGGAAGTGCCAGCACTTGCTGTAAGCGAGATATATGGTTTGTTTGTTCGCTCAAAGTACCGATGCTTAAATAATTACCCACACTGGGACCCAATGACAGGATAATACTAAGTCGAATGTTCCCCCTATTGGACCATTTCAATCAGGAAGTGCCAGCACTTGCTGTAAGCGTTTTTTGTTCATCCAAAAAACCGATGTTTCCCAACTGGGTCATTTGAATTCGGATATTGCCTTTTTGTTGACAATGTGGTACATGTACTGTCTGTATTGCCGTATCTATCTTACACCAGGTAAAGCCTTGTGAGCCTGTCATTCCCTATCATAAGTTACATATAGCTTGAATAATGCAATTGACCAGGACGTCATCATTTGTCAAGGTAGATTAGTCATTGATTTGACCTGTACTGTTAATATCATTCATAAAGTCGTTATGTCAGGTTGTGTTCCCATGTAAAGCCTGTATTAATTTTGTTTTTTCCAGGAAATAAAAAACCCCCCAACATTTAAAGTAATTTGTAAAGATGTTTTTTCCACGAATTAATGTTTTTTTTGGTTAGATTTTAAATTGATCCAGCAACAAAAGCAAATTTTAAAACGATGTAAAGATACACCATATGTGTAAATTTCAGCAATAAACCGAAATTATTTACCCTTTAGGATTACCTGGTATTATTACGAAGTCTTGGTTGTAATTTGTAAAGTAAGTATCAGTATTTTTTTTGTATTTTTTTTTTTAACCGGTTTATATTGCTGGCTGTTTGGATTTTTTTAAATTTCATATTTGTCATGGAACGTTGGCGGTATCATCTATTTTTATTTGAGTATACTTGCCACAGTTAAGAACATAAAACTGTCACATGTGTTTCGTAATATAAAATGTACAGATGTGTTTTTTTACTATTAAAGTTATTTATCGACTACATTTTACTGGTCTTTGATTTTAATTTTATACCCAGCAACCGATACCGTCTACTATTTATCTATACACACTATTAATGAGTACTAACACTTCAAAGGATATATATAGACGGGTTGAACTTCACGGCTCAGTGATTCCTTATATGTAAATATTCTCACTATAGTTGTCTTGTCGCTATCATCTCCCGCCTCACTGACCAGACACAGCCAACAGGATATACACAAAACATGGTAAGTCCTACATTTTGTCATCGTACTCATGATTTGTAATGTACTTATGCTTGTAGCTCTCTTTCTATAATTCCACAGTTAGGTGAGCTGCAGATTGTGTTGATGAATGTATAAAACAATTATTGAAGATGAACGCCCATGTGTATTGTCTAAATGAATGATTCGCCATGCCGTCCGCAGTCAAGCAGAACATTAGACATTGTTTTATTTATAAGCCAGAAACGTTTTTAATTATATATAAAAAGCATATCATTCTCAACAGAGGTAGAGATAATATCAGCTATATATTCTGCACTGAATTGAATTTTTACACGTTTTTGCATTAGATTAAAATTTGGGTCATGTAAAATATGATCTATGTGTTGATTATATATTCCGATAACTGTAGCCTATCTCTCATTAAGCATCATAACGGTGGTGGATGTTTGTGCTTGATCAATTGAACTATTTCAGTATGTCGTATGCTAAACCATACTTTATCACTCAAACCAGAACGTGTAGAGTATTTATTACCTACATTTACATATGTTAATGATGCGACTGTCACCAGATGCCAGGTTAAGTTCGTATTACTCATATTTTGTTTCAAGATTTACGGTAGGCATTGATGTTATGTATCGGCATATTGAGTCTTCGTTGATATAAATGAATCTTATTTTTTGCCATTTGTCATTAAGTTTTGTATCGAAGTGAAAATGTGTATGAATAGTGCTTGCTACGGAAACTGTCTATGTGACGGAGGAAGTTTCTAACAAAGCTGTATATATACACTATATCTACGAAGACACTTTTATGATAGTTTTGAACTTACGATGTACGTACGAAAAGAAAACACTATGAGTGACAGTTAAATACGGATTGGTGGACAACACAATGGAAGGGAAAGGTTAACAAGTGTATTGAATCTACCTCAACAATTAGAACGTTGGTGCTAAATGCGGTGATCGACAGGTTTCAATTATCATGTATTTAAGTTATCGTTTAAAATGTATTAAAGGTCATTTCAGTATCATATATACAATCTTATGATTTAATACAACCACATTAAACAGGGGTTCATGTGATTAATGTTAGAGGTAAGTCTATATGATACATACACGTAAAACCTGCGAAAAGTGTTAAAATCAAGGTTATACGCTACTTTAACACATTGTAGCTCTAATTTGTGTTAGATTCAAGAATATTTGCTGCCTTACACATTTTATCTGTGATCTGTGTAAGTCTTTGAATTCCTTTTCTTCTATAACATAAAACATTTGATTGGTGTAAGAGTTACGGGTATATGCTACCTTCCACAGTTATGCGTGAATTATTAGAGTTAAGATTATATGCAATCAGACACGTTATATTTGTGATTTGTGTCAGTGTTAGGGGCACATAAGACCACTTTTTACGTGTTAGATTAAAAGATGTATACCACCTTACATATTGTAACTGTGATTCGTGATAGAGTTGATTTTGTTAAGCTAACTTACTCCTATATACTGTAACTATGATATGTTTTAGAATTGAGAATGCATGCTGTATTGTTGTACCTTACACATTATACCCGTGATTTTAGTTACAGTTATCTACACTGATTTTTTTTGTTTTAATTGCCTATATTCTGTTGTATCAAACTTCACTAGTTTGAAATAATAATAAAATAAAAATACGATCACCTTAACATATCATATATCTAATGAACCCATTTCTTTGGCAACGAATGTATTATTGTGTGTTTTGCAAATATGCTACCTTGTTATGAAAAAAGGACAGACGTCTTTTCAAGAAACATATATATCACAGAGTAATTTAAAATGTACACTGCTGACAATATATAAATAAGATCGCTTACCACTGCCAATTGTATACGCTTTCTCTTTAAGGGTGCTACTTAGTCTACTTACACCTTTAAAATCGGTCAGATACCGAGAATAACTTAAACAATAAAGAGTATCTAACAATATTTGTTTGCATGATTTTGTGACAAGAATATCAAAATCTTACGTTACTTTATTGTCCGTTTAACACTTTAAAGGACACGAGAACGAGACTGGGATGATATTTTAGTGTATCCTTTGTCAAAACATAATCGAATATATGTTTTGTAAATATGTAGACTGAACAAAGTGTTGCATTTCTAACGTCTTTGACGTAATCGTATTGTTGCATATGACGTCAAAGTATTACACTTGTTAGAATAACGTTTCATGTTAGTTATACCTGATTACTTTCACGCACAGTGCGTTATGAAAATATCGAAAAGATAAAAACGGATCTTATAAATTCAATTTGATGCAATAGTAAGAAGTTGGAACTAGTTTCGAAACCAACGATTACGGTAGCTATTGTAGACTTTGCTAGTAGGATCATGACCTGCATAGAAACTTCAATCTGTGAATTGTGAAAGAAAACCATTACCGTTACAATATGATATTATTTATTATACTCATTTCAGGTTTTAGATTTATAGCGGTCTCCGTGTAGTTAATCACACATTTTGAATGGAAATGCATATTACAGAGGATTTTTTTTTTCATTCAGAAATGTCGTTTTTCATTGATAAACTTATTGATTTATAAATGTATCCTTCTCAACATTATCAATTTATATGTATTCAAATTTAAGGATGACTGGTCATTACATGAAACCTCTTTTAAGAATCGTTTTGATGCAGCGTCAAAATTCCTTAAATATTGACATGCAGATATGGTTTTCTCTATGTTGTCCATAATTTGGCGGTCTTTGTAATACTATCAGAGTCCTTTCTCAGTGCATGATCAAGTATGCAAATCATGCTCTGTCATTATCAAGCATTCAAATACATGTACAAGTATTGGTAGTATGCAGCTGTTCTAGAGTTTGGGTTTTGTTCTGATAGTAAATTGGCCAGATCTCTAGACAACTTGGTAATACTTCCAATGTCTTCAAAACCTTTTTCGTAGATTTAGTTTTAGATATGGTTCGCCAAAGAAGAATCATAAAGCATACAGCTATTTTGGGTAGATTGGTCTAGTTGTAAACACTTCGGCCTTCCACGCAGGCGGCCGGGGTTCGATTCTTCAGAGAAAGTGTTTTTCTCCTACCCACTCAACTCCAACAACCCAGGTGGATTATCAAATCGTCTAGGGTGAATGTTGTGGTATCAAGTGAGGTGGCACTATACATGCATGATGCCGTTGGAAACACGGTCCCACTACAAACAAAACACAATACATCACACGACATACACACATAGAGAGATATAAGCTAGGTGGCATAGGACGAGTAGTTAGCGCCTGATAAGGCAGCTCCTGCGAATTCCTCAAAATTGTATTTATCAATTTATATGCTAATTGTATTAATTTCATATCTATGTACTGTAAAGCGTTTTAGAGTGGCTTATTCTAGCTAGATAGGGCGCTATATCAAATGTTGTAAATAGTTATTCTTTATATTTTGTTCGTCTAGGACTTATCAGTAATGCTAGGGGCGAGCAAGTTTGAAATCCAAATTGGTCTTAAAAAACGATCTAGTGTAAGAAAAAGCAAACTTTCGTCTAGTATTTATATTGAATATTTGCTATATGTATATACATTTGTATGCAATATGCATTAAAATCTTCGGAACTGTTTTCATCTCTTCAAACACGATTCCTTTTTTCTTTGCGTTGTATTGTTTAAAGGCTTGTGTTGGAGGCAGTATTAATGTGTTCCGTGTTGTATCTATTTGCAGGCTGAACAATTAAATGAAGAACAAATTGCAGGTTTGTGGGGTTTATTATTTGATTTGTTCAACTTTCTATTTATTTATTTATTTATTTATTTATTAGCATTTTCTTTCGTTGGTGTTGTCTTCTGTAGTTAACCTTATTTAGACTATACACTTTTCACATTTCCACTGCCCTATTATTTATGGTAAGTCTCTATGGTTATAGTTTAACTCAGTCATATTCAATAAAGACATGCTTATTAAAACTTAATCTTAAAAATAAAACTACAATAATAAGATATATATCTTATAAAATAATTTGTCACGCTGATACAAATAGTTTAAAATAACTCTAAGAATGTGAAAATTTACTCGTAGCAGCGAAATACTGTGTGGTAAAAGGGGGATAATTCCATTCTTATTCATGTGTCGAATAGGAGTGAATACATAAAATTATTTTCTTTTCTTTTCTTTTATTAAAAGGAAAACTGATTACATGCAATTCACATATGTATCAGGATTCTTTAGTAAAGTTATGAGTTATGTTATTTAGTACCCCTTCTTATGTTTGCACGTGTTTTATACTTTCCCTGTTTGTAGAATTCAAAGAGGCGTTCAGCCTGTTCGACAAAGATGGCGACGGCACCATAACAACAAAAGAGTTGGGAACAGTGATGAGGTCACTAGGACAGAATCCGACAGAAGCTGAGTTACAGGACATGATTAACGAGGTGGACGCTGATGGTAAAACTGTACCACCTATTTGATATCTAAAACTAAAAATATGTGCTTCCAAAGTATGAAACAAGTAAACCACTATCTACATTAAAGAACTTTATAACATTTCCATTCTCATACATCTTTAATTTTAAAGCACTTGCTTTAATTAGATTTTTTAGCGACACGGCTTCATTCCCTTTGGCAATCTTTCCTCGGACACACATATACAGGTCTCCCTATTTCCTCATTGGCGGTTGAATATCATGATGATTATGCTTATTCTAAAAGCAGAGAGTTGTGAAACACATAAGTCGATATGATGATAAAAACACATATGTGTTTCGATAGAAGTATTTATGTATTTATATAATAAGTAAGCACAGTTTACTAAGGAGGACACTTTTAGACTCATTCGTGCTCTGTCCGGCCTTCGAGTTCACAATCTCTGGCACCAAAGTACGTTGTCGAAAAAATATATATTTGCAACTCTGACCATTTCATCGTCGCAAACTTACTCATTGATTTTTGTTGTTGATGTTTTTAATGGTCAAACCCCGTTACATGGTCATAGTGACAAATCGTCAATGATTATATGAGAACCTGTTACGTAATGCAAAGTAACATGCATGGATACGAATACATAAATCAACAAGTGGAATATCAATATATCAAATACGTTCGCTTCGCAGTAATAAGATATCTTAGTTTTCTCACAAGATATTCTCGTGAGAAAAATAAAGAACAAAACCTTTTATTTACATATACTTTATATATCAACTTGTAATATTAATATGTAAACGAAACAAATAATTTATTTGGAATGATGACGCTTGAATATTTATTAATAATATTTATTTCAAATTCGATTTGGTATTTTGCTACCAGGAAACGGAACGATTGACTTCCCAGAATTCCTCACAATGATGGCGAAGAAAATGAAAGAGAACGACAGTGAAGAAGAAATCCGTGAGGCATTCCGTGTATTTGATAAAGACGGAAATGGCTTTATCAGTGCAGCCGAGTTACGACACGTAATGACAAATTTAGGAGAAAAACTAACAGACGATGAAGTTGATGAAATGATCCGAGAGGCTGACATTGATGGTGATGGACAAGTGAATTATGATGGTAGATATTCTGGAAAACAAAGTTATCATTATCATTTTCAACCATGATTCCATTGCATAAACGCAACTTTGTGTTGAATGTATTTAATACGTTTCTTTTTTAAATCCTGCTTCTAATAGAAATGCTTAATAACCTTGAAAGATGAATGCTACAGAATAGAAATGTTTTATATCATGTTTTACTGATATATGCCAGAAAAGACTTAAATATTAAGTGTTTAACTGTAAATGTACTTAATTTCCTGTGTCCTTGATTTCGCTATGTCTATGGTTTATTTTTTATTTTATTAGTATGCCTTCAATGTGTTTTACCCAATACTTAGAGTAATAATCTGAATTAGCAACTGGATAACAAGGCGAAAATCAATACATTTTAGAGATTTAACTTATTTGTGAGAGTGTGAATCCACAAAATAATCAAACAAGTTACGTCCCATGTTAATTGTGTTGCAATAAATCTTTTGGAGATCTATTATCCGCGATTAAATTTTTGTTTTGTTAATCAACACAAAAAATTTAGATCTCAAAAAAAAAAATGTGTTTCTTGCAGCTACTGCAATATATGATTACAAATAATACTTTTGATAAATAAGTGCGCTGTTTGTGTGTCACAATTACCTAATTGCTTATCAATTTTGGTCAAAAATATATTGTGAAATAAAAATTAAAATTAATAACTATATTTACTTATATATATGCTTCTTTTCAGAATTTGTTAAGATGATGACGGTATGTATCACCTATGTTAATCAAAACATTTTCATTTTTGGAAATCATAATGTTCTTGATTCATACGCAATTATAATTCCTCTCAAAATAATGATTCTCTGGCACACTATTGCTGCGATAGCGTATTGCGGCGCTATCAGTACCGCGTGTTCAGACTTCGTATGCAAAATCCATTTCTGTCGATATCGCCAGAATGTTCTGGTGCACTTGCTGGGATATTGCCAAAGCTAAGTTCTGGTGATGTTATGACGCACCCACTCTGGTTATGCCTTGGTAAGCAAGATTGGTATTCCCACATTCAGAAATGTATGACAATGTTGCAACAGGGATGTGAAGTACAATCTAAATGTATTTTTTCTAAAGTTATTTCATGATAATTCATAGATTATATTGATCAGAGATTGATTACAAAGTTCAACGCGTATATAGATTATTTTTTAGTGTGATATTCATGAATTGTAATTGTCATTAATGTTAACAAAATGCATCCTAATGAACTTCAGCAACAAGAATTTCAGTAAAAAAAGTACAGCAATACTTAAAAAAAGATTTAGGTACAATGTATGTTCATACGATGCACTTCACTGCAAAGTACATGTTCAAAAGGTAATGAATTCATATAGAAAAATTAAGTCAAGTATGAATTATATATTTGTGGCAATTAAATGTCAAATGGAAAAGCAAGGTACACACTCTTAAATTATTGCACAATCACTGCTCAGCGCTGGTTATGTGTTTGGTGTGTATACTGTAAAATGACTTTTCTGTAAACCTCTGTGTGTTGCGGTTAAACTTGTTACATACAAATGCACTATAGTTCATTTAAGGTATTACATGTTTTGTGACCATAGTGTAACGTATTCTACATTACCTTATAAGACTCAAGAATGCCATGAATTTTATCCAAAAAATGTTTAAAGCCTAAAAACTGAAGACTTTGTCTTTCACCACGAGCTCCATGCAGCATTTGTGAACCATTTTGTAATTTTTGATTTTGCTGATCAACTATATTTAGACAAGTAACAAAAGGATCACGGGAATTCTTGAACTGTGGTGCAATTCTGGCGACTTTCTGGTGATATGATCAGAGTGCAAGAACATCACCGGAATGTCACCGCTAGCGGCGATATTCTGTGTACTTCTCGCGAAAAGATTTGTGCGCCGCGATATCCCTGCTAACTTTCTCTCAATGTCAAACCTCATTTCCCCATTTTCTGCTGCAAAATCTTGATATGGCGAATTAGTTTATAATAAACTGCATTTTTTCACTTTCATGATCAGGCCGACATGGTAAGCTACATTTATGTATATATATATAGAAAAACAATTTATTGATTCCATTCACACAAAAAGTATATATATAAAAAAATAAAAACCGCTTTAAAGTTTTGTCGTTAAGGCAACTGATATTGATTTTCGCTCAATATCTGATATATATATATGGAGAAAATAGCGTAATTCATACATTTGTGTATCATAACATTGTAAAGCATTGTTCGGAAGGAAAGAGATACAATTAAACAGATGCTATTTAAATCATGTATACAGTTAACACGGATATTGTGTATTTCCTGAAACATTTTATAAAAAAATCAGTTTGAATGATTGTCATAATCTTAAATTTTAATTTAGTGTGTCCAGGTGGAAAAAACGACTTCGCCTGTTCAGAGAGAAGTGAGATTATATATACATTTAGGATATTAAATTGTAAAACTATAAAGTGCAATTTTTTTTCAAGAGTATATGCTTATATATCTATCCGACAATAAGATTGAGTTATCCCCCTTGCATTATTTCTAAGCTATGTTTGAAATTATAAACGATAAAAAATAAGAGAACAAGATTTACAATTTATATCTGCATGTTTTAAAATCCTTTTCTGCCTTCTCCTTCCTTTCTATGGTGTATTCCTAGAATCCTTCTGTCGACCTATTGTTAGAATCATGTGACTGGGTTGACCGCCATTATATCTCAATCAGATGGTACTTTGATCTAGCCCTCGAGTTGCATCATCATGTGTGAACACCGTAATTATATATATATTGACCTAAACTTGTCGTAAAATCCCGTACGAAGCCTGCATAAGATTTATAATGCTGCATCCGGCTCTATGCACTTCTTTGGCATAGAGTTTTCCTGCCATGATCTTCGAGTCTAACCTCTGATTTATTTGAAAAGCATATTTACTTTAGTTCGTCAGTAACTATATATATGCATATAATGCTATGTTTCTGACGGAGGACACATTGTGTTTTGCTTTTTTTTAAATGTCATTTTTTTATAATTTGAATCAACCATTTTTATTAAAGCTAATTTCATTAGAAATACTTTTTCATGCCGCACTATTTTGTTTCAAATTTTGGATATTTTCCAATGCGCTTAGATCACGATACAATAATTTTAAAGATATTCCTGATAATCTGAACTAGTTGTCGGTGAAAAAATATAACAACAGATCATCAATGTTGAGTTTTTTTCTCTATTGACATAAGCCTGACGTCAGTGACGTCACAATGACACTTATATGACGATTGAAAAATTAATAATAAAATAATCGATACAATCATGGAAACGCTACAAAACAATAAATAACAGTTAAAAAAAATCTTGCAGTAGGTTTTATTTCAGTGGTGGATGTTAAATTCCAAAGGATGATAATGATCTGCAATATATAATATTTGTATATTTTTTTGTATGATTTTCAATAAAACTTTCTTTTTACAGGCTGACGGTTTTTGATACAGTGGCCAACCTAGCAGCAGAAACTACGTGTTTGGACAATTATATTTTTATCTATTCTACAAACAAGAAACGAAAATCACACGTTTTCAATGAGGAAAGAACGGCATACATTGTTAAAATTCATTCATATTTGTCACCATTTAGTTTCTTACCTTACGTCCAATATTAAAGAATGGAGAATGTTATCACATGAGAGTGGCGACTCGTTATATAATGAATTAGACTTTCTTTATAATCATTATTAACGAATGCAAATATAGCAGCTTTAGAAAGTGACATAATACCTATGATGAACTCAGTCATCAGCCGAAAATGTATGGTCGTTACCGTTAGGGAATGACAGATTTGTTGATTTTTATTTTGGTTTTACCTAAGGAGTTCCTTTTTTTTCTTTCTTTTTTCTTTCACTGAGAAATTTTAAACAAAAATAACTTTCCGTCGTGATGTCTGTTAAGAAAACAAAGTGTTAGTATTGATCCCCTCCCTTTTTTCTAAACCATAATATATCGGGGTCAAAGTTCAATTCTAATAGAATATTTCCTTCATGATCTCTGTCCCATTGCAGTCAAAATACTAGAGCATTTTGTAGTGAGTTTTCGCACTCGTTAAGTTCGCTATTGATAAAACTAAAGTATAATTGGGCCGAGGTACTTCAATTGACAAGATAGCTCAGTTGGTAAGAGCGACAGTATAACAATCTGAGGTCCAGGGTTCGAATCTTGGTCAAGCCACGCTGGGATCCTTAACATTGATATCAAATGAAAATTTAGATTTTGTGCATACTTGAATGTGATATTACAAAATGTTACCTTGTTGCACTTGTTTTGCAAAAAATTAAGCATAAGATATTATAAAATATAAAAAAAATCACTATCGTTCGACCAATCTCAACATTTTCATGAGAGATTAATACATAATTATCTTTTTCTCAAATTAAATTTTTAACATCAATAACAACGAACTATGAGCAGCAATTGATGGCATATCATTTTCTGTAATTTCTAATGTAGAATTAGTATTTTGAAATATATTTTAAGATGAAAATCCAATTGACAAAACATACAACACCTGAAGATGCTGAATGAATTTCTAAACAAACGAGTTATGTGTGAATATGCAATTATGTATAATAAACGAAATGTCTTTTGTTTAAATGAGTTGGTTGTTATTATTGCTTAGGTACTTAAATTGAGCAGTTGATAGTCGATAAGTTTTTCTCCCACAATTCACAGGGGTGTCTCCCGTTTAAGCCGAGAAAGATCAGCTTGTCACCCCCTAGGGGGAGATAACATCGTGCCGATTAGCACGTGTTCAATTGTGACGTCATTAAAACGCGTCACCGGTAACTGTGACGTCATCAAATGTGAATGACGATATTCATATCCCACATGTGTTTTTGTTTACACTACTGTCGGTGGAGTTCTGACTAAATTAATAGGATGCGAGAAAAAAAATCATCCCCTACCTGAAGGGTGTAACAGAGAAATCTCCAACACTCGCGGCGATTATTTTGGTTGTCTAACCCGCAGC